TTTTTTTTTTTTTTTGGTACCGGGGATTGAACTCGGGACCTTGTGCTTGTGAGGCAGGCGCCGGAACCGCTGAGCTAAATCCCCGGCCCTTTCAGTTCTTTATGTATTCTAGACAGTAGTCCTTTGTCTGAGGAACAGTTGGTAAAATATTTTTCCCACATTGTAGGTTGTCTCTTAGCTCTGTTGGTGATTTTTCTTTCAGTGCATAAGCTTTTTAATAAGATGAGATCCCAGTTGTTCATTCTTTGTGCTAGTTCTCATGCTACGGAGGATTTGTTCATAAAGTCCTTTCCTGTGCCAGTGTCTTCAAGAGTTCTACCTAATTTATCTTCCATCAAGTTTAGTGTTTCTGTTTTAATATTTAGATCTTTAATCCACTTCAATTTTAGTTTAATGCTTGGTGAAAGACAGGGGTCTAGTTTTAATCTTTGTCAGGTTGAAATCCAGTTTTTCCAACACCATTTGTTAAAGAAGCTATCTTTCCTCCAGTGAGGATGGTTGGCTCCTTTGTCAAAGATGAGGTAGCTGAGTATGTCTGGAGTTGTTTCTGTATCTTCTTATCTATTCCACTGATCCTCAGGTCTGTTTCTTTGCCAGTACCATGCTGTTTTAATCACAGTGGCCTTGTAGTACAGTTTCTAGTTGGGAATTGTGATACCCTCTGCCATGACTCTGTTGCCTAGAATTGACTTTGCTATTCTGGGACTCTTCTGGTTCCAGATGAACTTTTGGATTGTTTTCTCTAGTTCTGTGAAATATGCTGTTGGGATTTCAATCGGGATTGCATTGAATTTGTATAGCAGTTTTGGAAATATGGCCATTTTCACGATATTGGTTCTTCCTACCCAGGAAGAGGGGATGTCTTTCCATTTTCTTATATCCTCTTTGATCTTTTTTTTCAGAGTGCTCTAGTTCTCATTGCAGAGGTCTTTTGCTTCCTTTGTTAGATTGATTCCTAAATATTTCACTTTTTGGATGCTATTGTGAAAGGGATTGTTTCCCTAATTTCTCTTTCAGTGAGTCTGTTATTTGTGTACAAGAAGGCTATTGATTTTTGAGTGTTGACCTTGTATTCAGCTACTCTACTGAATCTGTCAATTAAGTCTAGAAGTCTTTTGGCAGTGTTTTTTGGATCTTCTATATAGAGTATCATATCTTCAACAAATAATGATAGTTTAACTTCTTCCTTTCCTATCTTGATTCCTTTTATTTCTTTCTCTTGTCTACTTGCTGTGGCTAATGTTTCCAAAACTGTATTGAACAGGAGTTGTGATAGTGGACATTCTTGTCTTGTTCCTGATTTTAGCGTGAAGGTTTTCAGTTTTTGACCATTTAGTGTGATGTTGGCTGTTTGTTTTTCATAGATAGCCTTAATCAGGTTGAGGTAGAGACCATCTATTCCAATTTTCTGCAGGGCTTTTATCATGAATGGGTGTTGGATTTTATTGAATGCTTTTTCTGAATCTATTGAGATGATCATGTGGTTTTTGTCCTTGACTCTGTTAATATAGTACATTACATTTATTGATTTACATATGTTGAACCATCCTTGCATCCCTGGGATAAATCTGACTTGGTCAGGGTGTATGATCTGCTTGATGACCCTCTGTATTCTGTTTGTCATTATCTTATTGAGGAATTTTGCATCTATGTTCATTAGGGAGATTGGCCTGTAGTTCTCTTTTTCGGTTGGGTCTTGCCCTGGTTTTGGAATCAAACACTTACTTCCAGGAATGAATTCGGGAGTATTGCTTCCCTTTCAATTTCATTGAAAAATTTAAAGAGTAGTGGCAATAGTTCTGTAAATGTTTTGTAGAATTCAGCAGTGAAGCCATCAGGACCTGGGTTTTTCTTTGTTTGTAGATTTTTAATTACTTTTTCAATTTCACTGATTGTAACTGGGGTGTTTAGAATTTTTATATCTTCTTTGTTCAACTTTGGTAATTCACATGTATCTAAGAATCTGTCCATTTCTTCTGTGTTTTCCATTTTATTAGAGCACAGGTTCTTGAAGTAGGTGCTGATGATCCTCTGGATTTCTGCTGGGTCTGTTGTGACTACACGTTTTCATTCCTAATTGCATGGATTTGAGCCTTTTCTTTCCTTTTTTTCATCAGGTTGGCCAAGAGTTTATTGATTTTATTATTTGGGCTTATTAACAAGCTCCAAGGCCTTGCTAGAGCTAAGCTAGAACGCCGTTGGGAAGGCACCTAAGTGCCAGGTGTGGTGTTCTGGGGCCATGGTGGCTGGACCAAGAGCCTTGTAGCTTGGCAGAGGGTCTCCAGAGTTGCTGTGCTCTTCTGCAGATCCCCTGTTCACTTGCACGTGTGTTGGTGCCACACCTACCCCACCAGGGGCCGTTCCCGTTTATTTGTGAGCCTTTCACCATAGTGGGTCTTAGTCTGCTATCCACCGGCTTCCTCAGAAGGGGTTTGCTGTTTATGTTCCTGGCCTTCCAGCAGTTGCCCCTCTGAAGTCTCTGCTGCTGTCTGGTTTCTCACAGTTGAAGTGGATGTGCTTCTGCCGGAGCAGAGGCCATGCCGTGTGGAACTGCCCTGAGCTGTTGTGGGTACGACCCCAAAGGCCTTCGCTCGGGAGGTCACAGGGGAGCGCAGCCACAGGGCTGTGTGTCCTCCTGTGCTTCTGGTCAAAAGTACAGTGATAAACCGTGGGCTTGCCTTTTACTGCTTCTTGAAAAGATAAAAAGACAACATTGATTTAAAATTCTGTTTTGCCTCAATGAACTAAACCAAATTGTCTCAGAAAGCACTGCTGTCTGTTAATCTGTGGTAGGTGATGTTCCCCTCCAGGGTCTTTAATCCTCATCTCTTGCATCATGAAACCTGTTGAGTGAACTTAGGAGAGAAGCCTGACAGGCCACCTGCCGAGCGTAGTAGTGTTCTGTGTGTGAGGTGTAAGAGAAACGTCATCTTTCCGACTTAATGGAGTTTGTGTTTCATTAAAATTAATTTTAGTTTTCACTTCCTTTGTTCTTCAGTCAGAAGACACAGGTAACCTCAGCTCTTCACGACAGGGTGGACCAGCTGCAAAGGATTCTCAGGTGAGCGAAGGGGCAGCCTTTAGGCTCTGAGGTGAGTGGGGGCCCCTCTTCCCCAGCGCGGCCTGAAGCCTGTCAGCGCCATTCCTCCGGCCCTCAGCTTCATGTGACCCTGTCTGCAGGTCCCTCAGCCAGCTCTAGGGTTGAGGACAGCATGGGCTCAACGCTCATGCCCTGTGCTCAGATCTGCATTCGCCACCCACTTGCTGGCCAGGAGACATTGGAAGGCAGGGTTTCCTTTGCCGTGACATCTAACTCAGCAGTTTTAAAAATTCATATTAGATTGAGCATGTAAGTCCCCTGCACAATATCAGGCACACAAGAAAAATTAATTTTTGCAGCAGTTGCTGCAACTAGCAGGCGACAGTGTGCATTGTTCTCCTAACTCTTTTGGGAACAATGTATTTATCAACTATTTAGATGACTTGGAACTGGCAGAGCCTGCCTGCGACTCTAGTGGTCTTCTTTACCGGTACGGTGAGACCTTGAGCCCGCTCTCTGGGAGACTGAACTATTCCTCATTTGCCATTTAGGAAGTCTAATACTGTTTCCTTTAGTTATTATATATATATAAGTATATTATTTGTAAATATAAATAAAACTTAAAATTATAAACTTTGTTCTTTTAACATATATAATTATAGAAATTACACATACCATCACTTTATTACTTGTAATGTATATAGTACCATATAATTTGGAGTCTAGTAATTAGAGGAATTTTATTCACTCAAATTAGGGGTAAAAACGTAAGTTGCATTTAAGGGAACCAAGTATTTCTGTGTGTCATAATATGTGAGTGCAGCAAAGAATGAACTGTTCAGTTTCCTCCGGGTTTCTGCTTGTCATTAGCCTGATCCTCATGATTCTGTGCTGTGGAAATGGTGCAGGCATGTTTCGTTAAAAGTGTTTGGTAAATCAAGCTCTTCCTTTGGCTTGCCCCTCCTCCCTTGGCCTTGAGGAAAACCTCAGTGTCTCTCGACTAACACTGCATGGCGGAGTCAGCACAGAGTCTTCGCCCACAGATCTACAAGTCGCCCGTTTCCCTAACGAGACCCAGAGAGGATCTCGGTGGGACTCAGGGAAACACAGGCGTGAGTTATTTCCCTGTGTGTCTGCGTGACCAGGGCCATGTTGATGGTCACGTCTGTACCTTAGCGAGCCAGGCACATCCGGAGGTGGAGATGGGATGGGGACCTCAGGGAGCCTCTGGAGACGGGCGTCACACACCCTGTACCTCTGTAATGTGTATTCTTGAGCGACACGGAGCCTGCCGAGCCACTGGGCTCTCACCTCTGAAATTCTTTCCAGCAGCCTTGCAGCCTTGTCTGTATGTGTGAAATAGGACTGTTAGGGGTTAAAACTGGGTATTGAAATTGTACATTTGACTTACTTTACTGACTAGATGCTTTTAGAACAGAGGGAGTTTATGAAAAAAATATTTTGAGATAGACGCATCTTCCTTTTAAAAATATACCATTTAGTCCAAGTGTATAAAAAAAAGAGAAGAAATGGAAACACAGCTTTTGTAAATGGGGAGGGGAAAAAGGTTGGAAAGCAGGGAGGGAAGTGGGGAAAAAATAGAAGAATTAAGATGTATTATATACAGGTACAAATCCCCTGTGATGAACATGATCATTATGTATGGCAAACATGTACTAATAAAAAAATAAATAAAATAAAATTTAAAAATAAAAAGAAAAGTAAGGAAAAATAAGATTTGATATGTAATTATGAGCTCTGTTGCTAGTGAGAATTAATGTAATAACATATATAAAATTGTACTATACGATAACCTTTCTTTAAAAATACTAAACACTAAGGTATTATTTATATGCTTAAGCTTCTTTCCTTATTTTTGTTTGGCAGCAAGATTTTTAACAATTCCTCTTCTGCTTACAGTGTGTCAGAGATTTTGGAAAAACATGGAATTGAGAAGCCGATTTCCTTTGTTAAAGACACTCAGGCCAGCGCGGAAGAGGCGCGCAAGCTGATGGTGAGGCTGACCAGGCACACAGGGCGGAAGTGAGTTCATAAACCACGCATGGGTGCTTGCGTGCGGTGGCTTTGTGTTGCTCGTTTCTTCGTGGACAACTTCTGTGAGTCCTAATTGGCTCGCATTTGATGGTGCGGTTTGCCAAGTTTTGATAGTGCATGTACTGTTGCTGGACAAGGACACTGAGTGTCCACCAGCCCTCAGGTGTTCCCCTTGCTTCTGTATGATCTTTCCCCTCCTGCTGGTCATCAAGCCCCCGACCTCTCAGCAGGCTACTGCTGGTCTCTTCCCCCGCTTTGAACATCACTTTGTATTTGTTAGATTTGTGTAATTGTATGTTGTTGTTTTTGTTTGGCTCCTTACACTCAAGGTCATTATTTTCATCCATGTCATTTCATGAATCAGTTATTTATTCCTTTTTATTTGCCAAATAACATACGGATTTATCTTACTATGTTTATCCACTCCCCTGTGTTTAAGGACACTTGGGTTGATTTGATCTTTTTACAAATACAGCCACCATGAATATTTGCATACAAGTTTTTTGTATGGGCTCACCCTTGAATTTCTCTTGGATAAACACCTGAAAGTGGAGTGGCAGTTGGCTGATGCTTACCTAACAATAGCAACAAAACCTGCCAAGCTGCTTTCCAGGCATCTGTTCCCTTTTCCTTTGGAACCAGCCTTGTAGGAGAGTTTCAGTTGCTCGCCCTGCCTCCACACCCAGGTGTGGTCAGTCTTCTGAGGAGAGCAATGTATTAGGTGTGTGATGATGTCGGATTTTAGCTAGTGCTGTGGGAGCCTCTACCTATGCTAATCTGCATGTGCATGTGCTGTCTGCCTGCTCTAACAGGCTGAGCTGCTTGTGTTCTTATTGAGTGTGAGTTTTCTTCCATGATCACTATATATGTTCCTCACGACACATATGTGCTTTGTAGCTATTTTCTCCCATTTTTTCTTGTCATTCTCTGATCTGTCTTTTGAAATCGTACTGAAAAATCAAATTCTTTTGAATGAATTTTTTTTTTAATAGTGTTTTTGTTAATCTAAGAAATGTTTGCCTCACTGTTTACTTTTTCTAGCAAAGTTTTTAGTTTTATACTTAGATTCTTTTTTTTGTTTGTTTTGGTACCGGGGATTGAACTCAGGACTTCCCGCTTGCAAGGCAGGTGGCGGAACCACTGAGCTAAATCCCAGGCCCTATACTTAGATTCTTAAACCACTTTGAGAGTTTATTTTTGTTTATTGATCAAAATATGGATCAAAAATTTTTTTCCTATGTGAATATTCCAGCACCATTTCTTGAAAATGCTGTCCTCTCTCTACTGAATTGCCTTTTCAACCTTGTTGAAAATCAATTGTCCATATATGTGAGGGCCTACTTTGAATTTTTATTCTGTTCCATTAATTTATTTGTCTTTTTTCCTATAGTATACTGTATCGGTTTTTGTAGGTTTAATAATAAGTCTTGAAATGAGGTAATATTAGACTCCTGACTTTGTTTTGCATTTTCAGATTTGTTTAGCTATGACCATATGCATATTTGGATCAGCTTGTGTGGTGTTATCATTCAGGATTTTGGTAGAGATTGCATTAAATCCACAGATCAATTTTGGGAGTATTTCTGTTCCATATCAATATTCAGTTTTCCATTCCATGAACACATCATGCCTTTCCATTGACTTGGGTCTTTCATTTCTTTCGATGATTTTTTGCTTGCAGTGTGTAGGTCTCATGCTCATTTTGTTGAATTCATCCTTCATTGAATCTATTTAATTTAATTAATTAATTTATTTATTTTTGGTACCAGGGATCAAACTCAGGTCCTTGAGCTTGCACAGCAGGCGGCGAAACCACTGAGCTAAATCCCTGGCCCCATTGAATCCATTTTAAATGGAATTGCATTCTTATTTTCATTCCTTTATTCCTAGTGTGCAGAAATGCATTGTTCTTGTATCTTGTAACCCTCCTGGACTCATTTATTAGCTCAAACAGGTTTCCTTTGCAGGCTCCCTCATCCTGAATGTTGTCGGGAAGCTGCCCGTGTGTGTGTGGAATTTGGGAACAGCAAGGACAGAGGGTGGGTGGGCTGCACAGAGACAGTTTGTGCCCATCACAGAGGCCTGGGCAACATCGCCTGGCCTTCTCTTCCCAGCACTGCCACTCTGCTTCTCTGTGTTGCTTTATATGAATCAAATCAGACACTGGGTGCTCTTACATGTAGTTTTCCCCATTCACACTATAGCATGTGTCCATAATATTGGCATAACATTAATTTGTTCATTCTCTTTATCATAAAGTGTTTCATTTTGTGTATATAACATATTATATGTTCTGCCTTATGCAGTTTTGGATGATTTCTCAGTTTTGCTTGTTATTAATATTTCTGCGGTGAATAATTTTGCACTTAACCATCTTTTATTTTTCAATTTTTTCTTTTTTTTTTTTGAGACATGTCTCAATGATCTCACTATGTAGTTCAGGATGGCCTTGAACTCACTATGTAGCCCAAGCTGGCCTCAAACTCAGTGTTCCTCCTGCTGCAGCCTCCCAAGTGCTGGGATTGCAGGCATGTGCCATCGTGCCCAGCAATTGTCTTTTAATATATTTATGTGCTTCTTTTGAATACCTGCCTGCCTTGGTTAGAATTGCTGACCTAAAGATCTACCTGAGTTCAACCTTAGGAGATTCTGCTAGTGTATATTCCTCTTAGCAAAGTGTGAACTTAAAGTAAAACTGTCAGTTCTCCCCGAGCTGACCAGTTCCTTCCCTGCAGCCCAGTGAGAATCCCAGCACATGGACGCAGTCCAGTGAGCGCTGCCCAAGTGTAGACTCTTTGTTTGGTCTCAGTGTTATGACTGATACAGAGATGACACTCAGAAAGTATTTTAGGTCCCTCAATAAAAATTTGCTGAATAGACTACTTACTTATTTTATTCTCAATGCAGAAAACAGTTTCTCATTACTCTTAGGCACTCAGTGTTTTCAACTGAATGAGTGTGTGAAACGATAGTAATAGTAAATTTCTAAAAACTAGAACATTTGTGTTTACATTGACTTTTGTCTCTTCATTGTTATCATCTAAAGTAGGATATTTATCCTAATGAAGTTAGATATTTGCTGAGTTTCTCTTAGGTAATTCCTTTAGACCCAGCTACAAGAGAGACAGGAAACCTGAACTTATTAGTTAATATTCACGTTTCTTAATCATGCATTTACTTTTGAATTTTTGTTCCCCTTCCTTTACGAATTTTTTGTTAACTGTAGATTTTGACACACGTGGCCTTGTCTCAGTGTTATGCTTGACACAGGGCTTATGAAGAAAGAGACGTAGTGCCTCCCTGTCAGGTCGGAGAGATTTCCAATTAAGTCACTTCTCAAAAAAGTCTCAGCTCCTGAGGGAGCTAACAGATCATTTTATAGAAAAACTGACAACTGACATTTGAAGGGCATTTCAAGGTAGGTGCTGTCCAGATGGTCAGTAAACAAGCCAGCATATTTTGACCTCTTCGTTCTGGGGTAAGAAAGTAGCAAATCCTTGGTGGCAGGACCTGGATGGTGCCTGATGGGGAACACTGGGCACAGACGCTGACAGGAAGTGGCTGTCAGGACCCGCAGAGAGCAAGGGCTGCCTTAGGGTTCAGGATGCCATGGGAAACTCGATTCTGGACCTGTCACAGGGAGACTTCGGGGAAACGTGGAGAAAGCTGGGAAAGCCCCCTCTGGCAGGTGTGCACAGGATTAAGTAATGAGAGCTCTGCAAAAGACAAATTTAAACATATTTTCTATGTCTAGTTGTTAGGCTTTAGCATTACGGTTTAATCTGAATTTTACAAAAATTGGGTACTAATGAAACAGCATGATACCTGCTCTCCCTCCTGTCTGTAGAGCTAGCTCCACATCTTCCTGGAAAGCTTGCTTGACTTCCCCTTCCTGGAATTCGCCAGCAGTCTCTGTCCACCTCTCCTGCTTGGCCCCTGTCCCTTGCTATAGTTAGTGACAGCCGAGCCTGCGGTCCTCCCTGCACCCTAGTCCCCAGGCAAGGCCGTAGCCACCACACAGCTCCCCTGGGGCTTGCACGTCAGTTGCTCCGCGATGTCGCTGCATGGATGATTTGGAGGTGATTCAGGGGCTTGAGGGTGTCTTCACAGTCACCGTGAGTGTTCAGCGTTTCCAAGATCATGGGGGGTGCTCTTCAGTGGTGAGCCTGGCTGTTGCTGCTGATGCCCTCGCAACCCCACTCAGTTCCTTGTTAACCTGAAGTTAATTGCCAGTCCACAGGATCTCCTCACATGAATACGGATGAGAATTTGGGCCATTCTCCAAGCAGCCAGCTTGAAGGGAATCCTGATGGTTTTATGTATGTTCTGTGTCTTGGCCTTCAAGGCTCTGTTCTTCTGCTTATTCTAATCTGTCGCAAATTCAGGTTTTACCATTTTGAGTGCAATACTGTTTCTTCCTAGAAAACCCAGTTTCCCTCCAAAGCTGTGACTGACACTGTGTTTTTGTTCAGGAGTCTCTGGATGTGCACGCCCCTTGCTTAGTTTCCTCAAATCTTGCTCTTGATTCTTATTTACTGAGTGTGTTCCAAAAAGGGCCATTATAAGTAATGTGCTATAATTTATTTTAATTAGAACCGCTACTTAGGGCCAGCCATGTGTGTGAACACATCACTCCATCTGTCCCTCTGTTGACGCTTCCAGAGGAACAGCTGGGTAGAGAGAACTGAGAGTCAGAGAGATGGAGCCTGGCTCTGACTTGCTCAGCTGCTCTGAGATGGATGCCTGCCACACACCCCGTCTGAAGGGTCCCAGAGAGTTAGGTACCAGGGCCACACTGCGGGAGGCATTCTGTGGATTCTTCTGGACACTTGCAGATATATCAATTTGTTTTACATATCTGCATGTTGAAAAATCATTTTCTCTTATGCATTACTGCAAATGGAACATGAGGAAATGTGTATTTTGTGTAATAAGTATAAAATGGTTGTAGGCTAATGAAGCTTATGAAAAACTTCAGGCAAAGCTGGGTATAATGGCATGTTCCTGTAGTTCCAGTTACTTGGGAGGCTGAGTCAGGAGGATCACTTGAGCCTGAGTTTCAGGTTGGCCTGGGCAACATAGTAAGACCTTATATACAAATCCAAACAAGAAAAATTCTGAGGAAAAATTCTTAAAACTACTTTTCTCATAGGAATTACCCCCAATACATACTTTTTCCATAGTAATAACTATTATAGACACACAAACTAAGACTCTATTTTGAATGGACAGAAATTGGAAATACAACGGACCCTCGAGTTATTACCGGCCCGACATATGAACAACTTGAGTTGTGACTGGAATTTTAGTTTTAACTTACCACCAAAGTCTTGAGTTAAGCTCTGAAGGCCAGCCACTTGTGCTTCCAGGTGGTCTCAGGTACAGATTTAATGTTAAAGAGTTCTGGAAGGAGCATTACAACGTCCTTTCCTGTGTGGGGTCCGTTGAGAAATCCTGGGCCAATGTGTCTCTAAGGACAATGAGATCTGCCTGTGTACAGGAGAGAGACTTTGGAGGCCAATTTCAGTTGACCAACTTGAGTTGCAACCAGCCCTTGCAAACAAATTGAGTTCATAAGTCCCACTATAGTAGTGTTTTTAATGGTATTTCATAAGGCAAAAAAAAAAAAATTCATGAAAAAGAAGCATCATTTGTTGGTATTTGCCAAACACAAAATGGAATCTGCTCTTTCAGGCATTGAGCGTCATTGTTATGTAGCACTTCAAGACTACAAGGGAAACAAAAATGCTGATAGCAGACTTAAATGCATTCTTAGGACCTTGCGCTTGCAAGGCAGGTGCAGAGCTAAATTGCTGGCCCTCACAGGCATTCTTAATTATTGGGAACTTTTGAGAGAAGCAGAGAGAACTGTGACATGTTCTCCCTCCTGCTGGACAACATTAGTCATCATGTGTGCAATTTAAAAAGCACAGACTCTTTCACATGTGTCAGATATGTCCCAGAAAACACATATGTCATATGTGTCCGAGAAAAATCGGTTCTTATGTTCTAGAATAAGTTATTGGTCATAATACAGAAAAAGGAAATCTGAAACTCAGATTAAAAGTTCTATTTCAATCCGTATAGGTAATCGAGCTGATTTTTTTATTTAGGAGAATCTTCCTGCAGTGCCTATGTTTGATCAGAATTAACCTCACTCTTCCTATGGTGTCTCTGAGGAGGGCATTGAGTGAGGAAAGTGAAATGCAGGAATATGAAATGATTTGCTTTATAATCACACCACTAGCCTGTGAATGAGTGTGAATTGTTAGTAAAACATTTTCTTTTTGCAGTACTGGGGATTGAATTCAGAGGTTTCACATTGACCAACATTCCCCTTTTCTGTATTTTATTTTGAGACAGGATCTCACCACGTCCCTAAGTTGCCCAGGCTGGGCTTGGACTTGCTGTCCTCCTGCCTCAGCCTTCTAGAGGTCTGGGCTTGATTACAGGCGGGTGCCCCCAGGTTCAGCTGTTAGCAAAACCCTTTCCCCTACTGCAGGAGAGTCTGACTGTGCATTCCCTACTCTGTAACTTTAAAAAGCAACACGAAATGGCTTTTCTTCAACTGGAGGGCCAAGGCCTCACTGCCCGTGTGCACCTCATGGGCTGGTAAATCCCTGCGGCATTCAGGAACTGTGAATGACAGGTACCGTCAGGGGCGTTAGGCTTTGGCTTTCCTGGGGTGTGGTCTCTGGTGTGGACACTGTGCGTGTGGATTTACTGTGGAACACACAGGGCTTTTCAGAACACGAAGCTTCCTCCTCAGCCCGGCGGGGCAGAGTCTCCAGTTGCTCTGTGAGTTGCTCTGTGGACTGCGATTAGTACTCGTTGATTGCCCGAGGCCCAGTTCCTGGCCTCCACACGGAATCAGTGCGGCCCATGGCTGCCAACACCTCTGATAGTTCCGCTGAAGTTAAGAGTCCTTCGAGCCAGTGTTGGGTGATGAAAGTGGACTTGGAATGAGCCTTCTCCAAGTGCTTTTCTGCGTCCCACAGCCGCATCTCCTCACTGTCACTGTGCTGTATTCTGCCGTGGACGTACTCAGCTTGTCTGTTGTGTGTTTAATGTGCAGTGCTCTTCTGGTGTTGTGTCCTGGTGGCTGATGACAGGCTGGTGGGGTTACTGCTCTGGCACTGATGCACAGCTGAGCTGCCCCACTTTTCCCTCTACCTTTAACCCAAGTTTTTCCCAGGAAGTCGAAATGAGAGCTCCTCAGTGAACCCTGGGAGCCGCTGTGCTATACAGCGGGTGTCAGGAGAGCAGTTCCCTGAGCTGTTGTTTCTCCGCAGACAGCCTCCGGTGGGGGAGTCGCACTGGAGGGCGTTGCTGCAGGACATGCTCACCGTGCAGCAGAGCGTGTACACTTGCCTGGATCCCAGCGCCTGCCATGAGGTAACTGCGCCTGGGCTGCCTTCCACCCGGGTCTTCCAGCCTGCCCTCCGTTGGTCCTGAGGGACCTCTGTTGGTCCTAGGGGTGCTGTAAGGTCTCTGGAGTCCATGATGCGTGCTTTTCAGTTTGCGGACTTTCATGTCCACCCTCCTCCTCCCTGTTTGTTTATTGCAGCAGCATGAATTTAGCGGTTGACCTTCAGCTAGCAAACTCCTGGCTCCTCTCCCTTCCACACTGTTGCTGGTCGCAGAAACTCGTTTCATCAAACAACTTGGTTATTATGTCTGAGAAGAGTCTTCCAAATCTGTCTTCTCTTCTTTCATCTCTGCTAAATCGGACTGGTCCTCTGCTTGCTTTCCTGTGTCCATGCAGCTTCTGATTTCAGAACTCAGCTTCTCACTGTGCTCACAGGACACTGCTGTCATTTCATGGAATCTGCTTCGCCCTGTCCTTTCCTAGCATGTCATTTACACATATGTCCCTTCCATGAGATTGTGAGCTGCTGGTAGGCTTTATCCTGTCCTGTCCATCCTCAGGGCCTCAGCGCATAAATAAACTGGGATTTGAAGGGCAGTTTAGAAATGCCTGTCACTTGACAGGTCCTTTTGTATATGGTAATCTACTCAGTATTTTGTAAGGTACGTATATAACCCATAAGTTACTTATGGTTTCTCTGGGGAAATGATCCAGCTAACTCTTTTTTTTTTTTTTTTGGATCGAACTCGGGACCTTGCACTTATGAGGCAGGTGGCGGAACCACTGAGCTAAATCCCCAGCCAGCTAACTCATTTTTAATGAAATACAATCTAAAAGAGACCTGTTATTTGAATTTGCTTGTCAAATAAGCCAGGCACAAAACTATATTGTTGTGAAGGTAGTTCTCTATTTTGTGAAATTGTTTAGTTTTTAAATTACAGGTGATTTTAACAAAAGAACAATAAGAGGAGAGGCTGTGGAGAAATGAATGGTTTATATTTGAATATCAGGTTTTAAATGCTTGAATAACTGCATTGTTCGTAGCAAGGATTAGTCTCAGAGGTATTCAGCTGCCAGTAACTCCCCCTTTGCACCTAGCTGTCTCTCTATAGCAGAAGTAGTTTCTTTTGTTTTTGTTTGTACATGAGAATGGCATTATTTTGGTACTTTCTTAATTCTGACTGTAATCCTGACTCTGATTGAAAAATTGGCAGTGGGTATATTACACTTGAGCCAGCTCTTGTGTGCAGTAGTCTTTCAAAATCACTTGACATATTGCATTAAAAATATTTTAGTGCTTTTTGTTAGGTTTGGTATGTTCATGATATCTGTCCAAAAGTCTCCGTCTTTCGAGAGCACATGTAAAAGCCTAACCCTTTGAAAATATTGTAGAAGACAGTAGCATAGATTCAGCAGACGTAAAGTTCTAAGCAGCCTTTTCTTATCATTTAAACTGATATGTTCTCTTACCTCCTTTTGGTTTTTTGTGCTTGGAAAATAATAGATAAGCTCAGGGGCATAACTGAAAATGTTAGGTACAGCCTGTGGGACAGATACCGGTATGCATTTTAGCAAGAGCTGGTAAGGTTAGGGCTAGTAAATCGTGTTTCTCAGTGTCGACCTTGGCTCTTCATGGCTTCTGTGAATAAGCAGAGTTATGCAGGGGAGCTATGCTGTGCATGTCCCTGAGTTAGACTTGGAACAGGCTGTTTTCATCTGTTACAATGAGTTTTATGGTGATATCTCTTAAATATGTTTATTGCTTTTATCCTTACTGGGTATCTCAATAAAGGCTTGTTTAAAAACGGAAAATGCCCCCTGCCTCAAGAAGTGATAATGAGAGTCCTATGAGAATTGGGTGGTCTTCTTAATTCAGAAGAAACTCTTGCTTTTCCCTGGAATTTTATTTTTCATTTCTCCTGTTTTTGTGCTTTCCTCATTAACTTGTGGAGTAACAGGGAAAAGCGTTCCTGGAAAATTCCCATACTAATTATTTATAACACTAGTAGTGTAGGCTTAAGAGGCTCACGTTCTTTAATACCTTTCTTGGTTTTTTTTTTTTTTTTGGTACCGGGGATCGAACTCGGGTCCTTGCGCTTGCGCAGCAGGCGGTGAAACCACTGAGCTAAGTCCCCGGCCCTTTAATACCTTTCTTTTAGAGTAAGTACATAGGTGGTGTCAACCAAAGAATTAATTTTATGTGGGGTGTGGTGGCACAGGCCTGTAATCGCAGCTGTCCCGGAGGCTGACGTGGGAGGGTTGCAAGTCTGAGCCCAGCCTGGGCAGCTCAGTGAGACCAGGTTTCAACATAAAGAGGGCTGAGGAGGCAGCTCAGAGCAAAGGCCCTCGGTTCAGTCTCTAATTCTGCCCCCCAATAATTTTATAGTAATTGATGCTATTTCTTGCCAAGTAGAATATGATATTTTCATGAGTATCTTACATCAGCGTCTCTCGTTTTATTTGAGGTGATTTTCAGTGTTCAGGTTGGGGAAAAACTGAGTGTTATAAGGCATGTTACAGCTTCAGTGATTAGGTGCAGGTATAACTTTTGTAGCTTAGCTGTTTGGTTGTTAAGACTGAATTCTGCTACTTCAGTTGTAAATTATATGTATCAGATTGAAGGGTTTCTTTTAGAGAACTGAGTGCTTGGTTTCGGCAGAGTAGAGTAGGCCCCCTTGAAGGTGGGATAATACATCTAACAGAACCTGTTTTTACTGAATATGAATTTTAGGTACTTGACTCAAGTATTCATTTAACTCCTTAAAATAATATGCTTTAGTTTATCCAGTGAGATTATTCTTTCATTTTCCTCAAAGATGACTTTATTATTGAGGTGAGAGTCATACAATACAGACCGAGCTGTTCCACAGTGTGCACTTCACTGGTACTTAGCGTGTCCACAGTGTTAGGGGACTCCTGCCTCTCCTCTGGGATGGGTGGATTTTCAGAGCCCTGCTGAGACACAGCCTTCCCTCCTGCCTCCTCCCTCCTCCCTCCTCCCTCCTCCCGGTGTCCTCTCTTGCAGATCTTCACCGAGAGCCTGCTGTGCTCCAGTCGCCTGGAGAACGTCCAGCTGGCCGGGCAGCTGATGCACTGTCGAGCCGGCTTGGCCAACCCTCCAGCCAGCGCTGCCCAGAAGGGGAGGCTGCAGTACCGGGTTGGCTACGAGAAGAGCGTGGAGCTGGTCCTGGCCGCCAGCAGGGAGTACTTCAACTCCTCCACCAGCCTTGCGGACAGCTGCATGGACCTGGCCAGGTAGGCACCCTCCTCTCGCAGGAGGGGCAGTGGCACCGCACTCCCTGCTGACTGAGGCGCTGTAGAGAGAACCGACAGCTGTGGGTGGCGTGCAGCTTCCTCATGACTGCTCCTCCAGCTGCTCTCTTGTGTTCTTTCAAGGATCCATCCTGTTGCAAGGGGTTTGCAGGGGCCTCTCTGGTCCAGCTGTGAGTGCCGTGTGCCTGTGTGAGCCGTGTCTGTCCCCTCTGGAGCCGGCCCTCCGTTTGTAGATCTCACTTGGTGGCAAAGCTCAGCAGCCGCTTCTGGGGGCACCTGTGAATGAATTTTTAGTTTACACATTCGGTCTCTTTCCTGGACTGTTCTGTGAACTCGCCCTTTTTAACACAGGAAAGAAGGTGTGTTCAGGATCTGAATGTTCATAATCAGTTATGCAAACTCACATTGATTTTTTCAATTTGTTCATGGTTTGAAAGTAGTTTTTATAAGTTTCATTTTTATAAATTAGAAGGGTTCAGTAAATATTGGTAAAAAAATCATCTCTGTAATGAATCTTAAAAACCTCAAAGTTTCTGCATTGGTCCATTTTTCACGATTGTAATGAAATACCTGAGGCGAGATACTTATGAAGAGAAGAGGGTTTGAACTCATAGTTTTGGACGTTCTCTCAACTGTCAGGCTTTAAATTTCTGCCCAGTAGACATGTGCATGTACACATTTTCTTTTCAAACACCTTTCTGATTTTTGCTTATTCTTTTCTAGGGTGTTTTTACTATTGATTCTTAGGGCCTTTTCTTAACAGCAGTGTCAACATTGACTTGTCTTTCCAACTTTATTCAGAATTTAAAATTTTTCAATTGCTGCTCTTTTTCTTATTCTGACTTTTTTTTTTTTTTTTTGTACCGGGGATTGAACTTGGGTCCTTGAGCTTGTGAGGCAGGCGACGGAACCACTGAGCTAAATCCCT